TTTTTTTTTAATATTTTTGAACATTTATATCTGTTTCTTTATTAAGGATATTAATCTTTTGTCCTATTTGTAGCAATTATTTTGTCTTTTTAATTTGGTAGAGTTTTCTGTTTACAGCTAGTAGTCAAGTCTGTTGTTCTTTGTGATTTCTTCTTCTTAGGAGCTTAGAATTTCAGGAGGCAGGTGTTTCTGGGAAGGCTGTGTTTAAGAGGGAAGGGAGAAAGTGAAGTTGCCCAGGCCCAGGGCAGTGGATCCAGCTGCTGGTCTTCAGCTCCAAGGTCAGGATGTTCACAATGGTTTACAGTGGCCTGTCCCACTTCTTGGCACAGCCTTGAGTTGCCTCTACTTTGAGTAGGAAACAGGAAGAATAATTTTTGTCCTCCACTATGCTGCTAAACCAGCTTCATTATGGGAACTGACCTGATGCTGAGTGCCAGCAGAGGCAGGTGGGACCTGACAGGACTGCTTCATGTCCTCTCTTCAAATCACTGTCTGATCTCCTTTAAAGGGCTGTGCCTAAAGGGGCTGTGTGCCAAGGTTTGTTTGCTTGCCTCTTGCAGTGACAGTTCTGTTTGGCCCATAATGTAAATATCATGGCTCTGAAATCCCCCAGCTGCCCATGCTTTGTCATTTCTTCAAAGGAAACTGACTTGTTTTCCACCAGAGGGGGCCAAGGAACATTTGCTACCCACACTGGTTTGGCGCATTAAAAGGGGAGAAAAAGAGCTAAGAGTAAATGTTGTTTCGTTCTTTGTATTCATATGGAAATTTTTAATCTCCATCAAAGGATCAGGAGAAAAATCACATTGAAATTCAATACAAGAGCTTCCAGTTTACAAAGAATGTTTCAAACATGTTTGACTTGATCCTTTAAAAATGACAAAAAACCATGAACTGTGTAGCTCCAGGGTTCATAATTTTGCTTACCCCCCTCAGCCCCCGCCTCTGTCTTGCCTTCCTACCTACACTCCATCTGTGTGGTCCTGTGTCAGCCTGCAGAGCTTTGAATGGGGTTGGGGGAGGGGGTTGAGAAGTATATACAGCAGCAATCAGGTTTATAGGGCTCTTTTTAGAGCCTTGTAACTGGTCTCCCTGACTTCAGTCTTCTTATTCCAGACCACCTTCTTCATTCTCCTTATTCCAGTCCTGTTTCCACTGCTACAAGAATCGTCTTACTAAGAAATAAAACTGATCATGTCACTTTCCTGCTTAAAAACTACCATTGGCTTCTCAGTCCAGGCTTTCCAGACTGCCACAGAAGGCTTCCATGATCTGACTCCCTTATCAACTTAATCAGCCTCATCTTTTACCATTCTCCTTAAATTCATAATCTGGCTACTGCCCACTGGATTATGAATTCTTTGAAGTCAAAAACAGTATATTTCCAAAACCTAGCACAGTTACTGACATATTAATAGATGCTTGTTAAATGCCAAATAAATTAGTGATTTAAAATTCTAAAAGGTCACAGTTTGAGAGAAAAAAACTAAAAATTATTTGCTAGTCTCTCACCCCTTTGTGCTTTCATTTCCTTTGCTCAGTATAAATCAAAAGCATACTCATTGTACTAAGGATCATGTCACTTCTTCCCCGTTACAGATTCCTGGTCATTGAGACCAAAAATCCTGTCTCAATACCCCCCACGCTTCCTGAGACCAAATAAGGCAAAATGAAGGAGAGCTCCAAAGCTCTTGGCCAGATACAAGCTTGTTGCTTGTATCTGAGTGATGTAAAAATAGTGCAGGAATTTTTTTTGCCTCTGGAAGTTCTTTTACACATTGATCTTTGATCTTATTTTCTGTAAGTGCTGTCCTAAACTAACCTGATTACATAAAAGTAAATTGAAGTTAACTTTGTTGTGGCAATTCCTTGATAGCCATTGGTAAATAAATACAACTGTTGTAATGTGAGGAAGTCACTCTTTAGTAAATGGGAGGATGAAATCTGCATGGAAAGTACTTAGTTGTTAGAATGGATTTTAAATTGGAAAAATCTAAATCAAACCAGGAGAGTAGTACCATAGGAGCTGAGAAGAAAATGAGAGACAAGAAACTTAAGAATGGCCTATAATTGTAAAATCTGATAATTTGCATAAAGAATAAAAGAATCACCTATAGTCCCTTTACTATGAGGGAGCATAGAGCAGAAATCATGTGTGCAGTCTTTGAATAACATAGCTGTTAATATTGGGGAAAAAAGTCATCACCACACAGATTAAAAGGAAAAAATATGAGTCCATAGATGCAAAAATTTTTTTAATTCAGTGCCCATTCATTGATAAAAGCTCTTAACAAATTAGGAATAAAAGAGAACTTCCTTGATCTGATAAAGGATATCTACAAAAAAAAATAATAAAAAGCCTATAACATATGCCAACTATTGGCTATAAAGCATGAACCCCAATATCTACACATAGAAGACACTTAATAAATGATAACTTTGATGATGAAAAAGTAACTGCAGCAATCATCAGTCTAAATGATAAAATATGTTTTAAATTCTTTTTAAAATCAAGAACAAATATGGATGACTGCTATCAGTGCTTCCATTCAGCATTATATTGGAGATTTTAGCCAATATGGTAAGACAGTACGAAATAAAAGATATAGGAATTAGAAAGGAAGAAAGAAAATTGTTGTTTTCATAGTTTGTATGAATGTCAGAATCTACAGATAAATTATTAGAATTAACAAGACTTTTTAACAAGGAAATTGGCTACAAGATCAAAATACAGAATAAATTTAATTTCTATAGGGCCGGCCGAGTGGCTCAGTTGGTTAAGACTTGGCTTGGGAGCACGAGCTCTAAGCAGCTGGGCCACCTGTTCGTTTCCCACATGGGCCAGTGACGTTGCGCCCTCTACAGCTAAGATGGTGAACAACAGCTTGACCTGGAGCTGGGCTGCCATGAGTGGCCCGCGACAGCGTAGGCTGCAGTGGGCTGCTGTGAGCTACTGTGAGCAGCAGTCCAATGGCCGGCGACTGACTGCCTCAGCCAGGAAGAGTGCAATGATCATACCAACATGGGCCAGTGAAGCAACGTCCTCCACAACTAGACTGAAGAACCAAAGGACAGCAACTTGTCTGTTCAACGCTGTTCCCCTCCCCCAATTCCCCAATAAAATCTTAAAAAAAAAAATTTAATTAAAAAAAAAATTCCATAAACCAACAAGAAGAAAATAATTGTTTAAAAGATACCATTTATAATACCAACAAAATATAGGATACTTAGGATTAATCTAACAGAAAATATTCAAGGCTTTTATGGAGAAAATTTTGTAATGTTTTTTAAACAACTTTTTTCAAAAGACCAGAGCATTCTACCTTCTCATGGGTTATTGCCAATTAAGAGTCAAAGCACCATGTTAAAATACACACACACATGCTCACTCACACACATACCGTGTAGATGAAACTTTGTGAAAACCTGTTTTCTCCATAGATCAGGGGAAGGGATTCCAATATTCAGTACACTACCCTCCGACCTCCAGCCCGAAGCTGATAGAGAACTTAGATCCACTGCTTCTCCAGAACTGCCACTTTTGATCTCTATCAGTCGCAAGGTGGCATAACCAGAAGAAAGTTGGCTTTTTCTTGGATGCACAGAAGATCCAAACAGTTATATATCTCCTATTTGACCACTCTTTCTTCCTAGGTCAATTACTTCGATCCGGAGTGAACTGATTCCCTACCTAGTAAGAAAACAGTTCTCCACAGCTTCCTCACAACAAGGACAAGAAGAAAAAGAGGAAGATCTAAAGAAAAAGGAGCTGAAGTCCTTAGGTCAGTTCTTGGGTTGGCGCAATATAGTAGGGGTGGCAGCACCTTGGAAAAAGTGGCTGGGCAGTTTAGCCCAGCCCAAGAAACCTATCTCAAGGCAACAGATTCTTGTCTAGCCAACAGGCAAGACGAACTAGCTGATGCCACTCTCTGAGCTCTGTGTAAGCTTGTTCAAGCAGATCCTGTCACTATGCTCTTCAGGGAAAAGCTAATCATCCCTCTGGTTCATAGCTCTGGTTTGGCTGTGTTCCTCACTAGACCATTTTGACTTTAACTCTGCCCACTTTTCAACTCCCTGGTTCTCTGGACCCTGGGGAGCCCCACTGCTGACTAAACTCAGCCTCTTCTGTCAAGGGAAGAAATGTGAAGGAGTGTACAGTTACAGTCCAACCAGAGGCCAACCAGACTGTCTTCTTTCCAGGATGTAGGGGCGAAGTCTGCCTTGTTTTCTCTCATATCCTTGCCTAGAAAAAATATATTTTTCAAATGAATTATTAGCCCTGTCACCTGAGGCAGGTTACTCAGTCTTTTTTTTTTCCAAAACAATACATTTTATTTGACATTAGACAATATATTCCCCAACAACTGTGATATGTAGATTGATTTAGATTGCTTTTTGATGTATTCAGTCTTCTGAGTCCTAGTTTTCTTATAAATTAAAAGATCTCAAATGATTATTATAAGAGTTGAAAAACTGGGGCCCAGGTACTCTGGCTTTAAGTCCTGTGCTATTTCTGTCACAGTGCAACTACCACATGTGATCATAGAGGCTTGCCCCACAGTATGGCTGGTTGCTAAAGCCTGGACACTCGCTTGGGTTACTTCATGATTTACAAGAGTCCTCTATTTTATTTTGCCCAGTAGTACTTGACTATTGGTCAAACTTGCTTGTAGGACCTCTTTTTAAGCATTTTGTATCATACAATATTTCAAGCGTACAAGAAGGCACATTGCCTCTTTTAATTTGACTTAGTCTTTCAGGTTTTAGTGAATTTTCCCTAGGGTCCATGCTGCATGGGCGAGTTCCGGGGGACATGTGAGCTGTACCCTCTTTCAAAGCTTGTCTAAGTCTATATCCCATCTGTCATCTCTCTCATTCACTTGCTCGGTTTGGGTGTTTGTTCTAAAGATATTTACAGTTTTATAAAAGAAACCAGTACCCTGACCTTTGCTCCCTATGATGCCTGCTGGAATGTCTGTCGAGGAGACAAATGGGAAGATCTGTCCAGACCACAGGTGCGCTGCTATGTCCACATCATGAAAGAGGGGCTCTGCTTTCGAGTAAGCACCCTGGGACTCTACATAGAAGCAAACAAACAGGTGAGAGGATGGGTTTAGAAGAGAAATCACGGGAGCTCCTACCCCAGAAACAGACTGGTCTCTTTTATCTTATTACTTCATTAGGTACACAGTGACTTGCTCAGATTCCCTCATTCCCAAGGTTGGTCAAGACCTGGTATGTCAGGAGAGACCCTTGGGGTACCCAGGTACAGCAAAAGTGAAAATGGAGTGCCCGGTCCATCAAGGCAGAGCCTCTGTTACTCCGGAGAAAGGCTAAGACCTCCAGGAATCTTAATTCATAGCCTCTGGATTCAGAAGCTTTCTCTTATTCTGCTCAGCATGCGTATATTTACAGTACTTCATAAACAAGCAGATACATACTACATAATCATTACTCTGATGAAGCAAATATGAGCACACGGGAGAGGCTGTCCTAAGAAGGTGAAGGAACAGAGTATAGAATAGCCAGATGGCAAAACCTCAAGAAAAGAATGTCTCTGAGAGAGAAGTATCTGGAAGCAACATTAGAAAGAAAGGAGTCTTGCTAACCCCTTCACTTAACCCTGAGGTTTATGAGATATGGAGAATGAGTAGCTTCTGTTGAAGGGGAAACAGTGCCGTGAAAGACAAGCCAGGTTTTATTAATAGTTTAGTTAAGGGATGGAGAGGGGAACAGTGAAGAGGCTGAAGATGCAGGGGAGCTTTTTACTATGTAGCAGGCTCAGGAGGAAGGTTTTAGGAAGGAGGGATGATGAGACCATGGAAAGGAAATACAGAGCAGTAAAGGGATAAAATGAAAATAGGAAAAGATAGATGATTGAGGGAACTACATTGGGGTGGCACTCAAGGACAATGCGGATGAGATGATGAAAAGATTAGCTGTTGACATGGTTCCTGGAAGAACCCTGTGAAAACTTGTCAGTGCAGGTATAAGCTGGGAGTGGGGGTGGAGAGGTCAGGTAGAGTGATAAAAGATAATTGTTGAAAATTGGGATTGGGATTGAGTCCCTGAAGAAAACCTGGCTCGGGAATCTTCAGGACCCACACCATATAGTAGATAGAACCCCAGCCCTGGACCTCAAGCTTGCCTCGACCTGGATTGGTTATAGAGCCAAGGGAATCCAAACCAGAGAGTTTATGAGAAATCACAAGTCCCATGTTTACCCAGGGCAGTCCTGGGTAAAGTTAGCCCCAACATAGAGCTATAAGGAAGGTTCCTTAATTTGACTTTTTGTTCTCTTTCTTCAGTTCTATGAGTAGAGTCTGTCAGGCTGGTCGGAAAGCAGGTCCATGGACAGCCTGAGACTAGAGAAGTGTCCTCTGAAGTGCCAGCAGGGGCTGTACAGTAGACAGGCCTGAAGGACCTTGACTGAAGTGTAATAGAGGAGATTTCAGGGATAGGGACTGAGGGATTAGCATTTATATTACCATTATAGCCAGTCCTGGCAAGGCCTCCCTCAGCCAGTATGTCCACGACACACAGTACTCTGGCCAGCATTCTGCCCATGCTGGAGAATCATAGATAGGCACACTGTCTGTGCCTTCCCAGCGGGTCCGGAGCTAAAACTCTCCATACCCATAACCTTTTCAGTTTTCTTATACTGGAGAGAGAATGGTGGGAACTTTACCTTCAGTATTTTATTTTGGCTGGTGAAGAACATGGATGCCTTCTCAGGGTCTGTCCTGACTATGGAATTTGTCTAACATTGCCCCCATCCTCACCTCACGCATGGCCACAGTGGTCCCGGAGGTTAGCAGGAACCTGGGATGAGTATGGTCAGGCCTCAGGATGCTCCTTGCCCTATTAGGCCTCCTCTCCCAAGTGCTACCTGGGTATCTCAAAGGCTTGTCTCACCACCTCCCGGCTGGGGGCCATGGCATTACTTTCAGGGAGGATACTCTCAGCTAGGAAACTGAGGCTAAGACCACTGGAAGCTACTGCATAAACAATTCTTGTTCTGGGGAAATGCAGCAGCCTCCTGTTCTGCCTCATCCAGACAGGAAGCTGGGCCTGAAAACTCCCCACATCTCTGACTGGCGTTGGATTCTACCTAAGGTGCTTTCAGGTGTTTTCTGATTTTACTTTAGTGACCAAACCTCTTTTCTCAAGGTGTCCAAATTGCTACCTGATCTCTGTCCAGAAGAACCACTGGTGCATTCATCAGCCCAGATTGTCAGCAAACACTTGGTAAGTGCTAATGTGGGCAGGGCAGATATGGGACAATCTCTGGGTGTGCTGAGGCTTGTCCTTGTGAAGCTGGATTGGGCTCTCAAGCCCTGAACCTCACTGGCCCCAGGGAAATCCCAACTGGGTTCTGGTTATAAAGTCTCACCTTCTAGCCTAGGCACTCTAAAAGACTGGCTGGACAGGTGCGGGTCCCAGCTACACAAATCTTGGAAGGAAGATCCGTTATATTCTTGGGACCCAGGCACAGAAGCTCTCCATGTCTCTCCCTCTTCTTATGCTGATTTGAGCACTCTCTTCAAGAGAGCACATCTAAACACATGAGTTCATGAGTATGTAAGATTGAGTTCGTCTCAGAGGTATTATGTGACCTTGTGGCCCTGAAAAATGCTGGTGATGGTCCTTCTTGTTGAAATATCTCTGCGGAAAGGTCCCATTAGACCCCAGCTCAAAGGATCTGGGGAGTTGGTTTGCATTTGGTTGAGATGAATGAACAAGACTTTATATTTGCCTTTTGCAGGTTGGAGTTGACTGCCTCATTGGGCCAGATACACAGGTTGGAGAGAAATCATCCATTAAGCACTCGGTCATTGGTTCATCCTGTGTCGTAAAAGATAGAGTGACTCTCACCAATTGCCTTCTTATGAACTCAGTCACAGTGGAGGAAGGGTATGTTTCCCCTTGTGCCTACTTGAGGCAAGGCCCTTGGTACCCCTGGGAGGCTTTGGGGGCCATTACAATCTAGGAAAGTAAGAAAGGGCTCAGCTTGGGAAGGGGAAGAAATGGAAAAGGATGAAGGGAAGAATATTGCCTAGGCCCTTTGAGGTCTTGGTTTGGGCTCCATAATGAAATGGCTTCTGAAAGCATTTCCAGTGGCCTCCTCCCACTTGTGAAAATTGTGGTCCTGGAAGAAGCTGCCTTCTCTTGCTTTGGTACCAAAGCAAGTAGGATACCCTACTTGAAGAGATGGCCACAGTAGTGAGCCACTGGCAGTGCTGGAAAGACACTGCACCAATATCTAAGGGTCACCTTCCCTTACCTTAGTATCCAGAGCAGTCTTGAAGGAGGCAGAGGCCTAAGAGAAATGAACATATAAGCCACACACTGTTTCTGAGGGAGAGTTTCTCTGTTCAAGTTATGGAAAATCTTCCCCCATTTTGAGATCTCATTGTGTCCTAAAACCTTGGTTTATGAACAGCCTGAACTTAGAGTAAGAAAACTTGAATGATTTTTAATAGGATTCTTTCTCTGCATAGATCTCAGGTTTTTCCTTGTATAAAAAGCAAGCATAGGGCCGGCCGAGTGGCGCGATGGTTAAGAACTGGCTTGGGACGCCAGAGGGCCCCGGTT